AGTCTGTGTTTGTGTTCCTTTTGCCTGCAACTGAAAAGTGTGGCTGTGGCTCAAGGAGCTCGAGCAAAGTATCTGCTAATCAGCATGTTAGTGTTTTTATCTATGGCTGCTCCAATCTTTGTGCCAAAGTGTCCTTGGGCAACGTTCTGAACACTGAGTTCCTCTTTGCAAGTTCATCAGAGTGCAAATGTTACATAAAAGCAAAAGAAAAGTGTACGGGTGCTTGAGACATACTGAATACCATTTCTCAACCCTTGACACTTGGAGCATCTCTAAGCTGCGGTCTACTTTTTTCTCTGCCTGATCAAGCTCGAATCTAAACTGATTTTTGTTGCACACTTTCTGTAATGCTTTTACAGCCACCTGTAAAGCATGCAGAATCTGGGTGTTTCATACTTAAGCAACAGATTCTGGGTTCAGTATCACTTTAAAGAAACATTAACGGAGAAATGAGAATGGGATTCCAAATGAAAGTGCAAGACTGTTAAATTACAGAGCAGGTAGAGATGGGGGTGATGGCATGGCAGAGTTATGCTTTTCAGACAGCACAAGAACAGGTCGCTTTTCAGAAGCAGACCATTTCAAAGGAAAAACGGTGTTCCTGGGAAAGCTAGCAGATATGTCGGTCATAATGACGGCTTTTCAGACTGTAAAAGAGTCTTTAAGGCTTCCAGAGCATTTGCAAAGACGTATCTGATAAAGAGGACATCCATAAAAGAAGCAGGGGATGGAAAGATGAGTCATTCAACAAAGAAGTGGATATGAGAGAGAAAGAGATAAACAAGCATATGCAAAAGGGAAAAGGCAGGTTCCCAACTGTAACGCAGCCTTTAATCCAGAGAGTGACAGACAAGCTGAACGGCTACCAGTCAAATCCACAGCTAGTCTACACTTTGTCGCTGCTGTGGAAACATTAAATAATAAATATGAGAACCTGAAATACAACAGTATGAAAAAGTGTTTGCCCCCTTCCTGATTTTTGATCTTTGTTTATCATACTTTAATGTTTCACGTCATCAAACAACTTTAAATACTAAACAAAGATAAAATGCAGTTTTTAAATGAAGGTGTTTCTAAATAAGGGGGAGAAAATCCAAACCAGCATGGCCTCGTGTGAATCCCCACCCCCGAACAACCCC